TGAATGGTATTGAAGGAAAAAGTCCAAGTTGTATTGGAGACATTGGTAAGTAAGTAAGTAAGTAAGTAAATAAATAAATAAGTAAAGAAAGAAAGAAACAAAGTTCCAGGGATTGGCGGAATACCCATTGAGATGTTTCAACAAACGGATGCAGCGCTGGAGGCACTTCCTCATTTATGCCAACAGATTGGAAGACAGCTACCTGGACAACGGACTGGAGGAGACCAGTATTTGTGCTCCTTCCAGAGATAGGTGGTCCCACAGAATGTGGAAATTATGGAACAATATCATTAACATCACACACAAAGTTTTGTTGAAGATAATTCAAAAATGATTGCAGCAGTATATTGACAGGGAACTGTCAGAAATTCAAGCTGGATTCAGAAGAGGACGTGCAATGAGGGGTATCATTGCTCATGTCAGATGGATCCTGGCTGAAGGCAAAGAATACCAGAAAGATGTTTACTTGTGTTTTATTGACTGCAAAAGCATTTGATTGTGTGGATCATAACAAATTACGGGTAACATTGAGAAGAATGGGAATTCCAGAACACTTAATTGTGCTCATGAGGAACCTGTTCATAGACCAAGAGGCTGTTGTTTGAACAGAACAAGGGGACACTGCATGGTTTAAAATCAGGAAGGGAGTGTGTCAGGGTTGTATCCTTTCACCGTATTTATTCAATCTGTATGCTGAGCAAATAATCTGAGAAGCTTGACCATACGAAGAACAACAAAGCATCAGGATTGGAGGAAGACTCATTAACAATCTATGATACGCAGATGACACAACCTTGCTTGTTTAAAGTGAACATGGCTTGAAGCACTTACTAATAAAGATCAAAGACTGTAGTCTTCAGTATGGATTATACCTCAACATGAAAAAAACAAAAATCCTCAGAAGTGGAATAATAAAGAACATCATGATAAATGGAGACAAGATTGAAGTTGTCAGGGATTTAATTTTACTTTGATCCACAATCAACCCCTACGGAAGCAGCAGTCAAGGAATCAGACATC